ACGTAATAGAAAGTCATTACCTTCACTTATGTGCCTCTTGTTCAAATGCCTTTCAGCTGGACAGTCCTAGTCTGTTTTATAGGTTTGCTTGCTGTTGTTTTGTGCCCTTTTTTTCTTTTTCTTCATCTGACAATTGTGGAGTCGGCAGGCCTGAGTTAATTTCTGGCTTTTAATTAGACCTACTTGTTAAGCTAAAATAAGTTAGAGAGTCTATGCAAGTTTACCGCCATGCTCGGATCCACCTGGATCGGCATGGTTTTACCCCTACTAACGTCTGGAAAACCAGTTTCTGTGAAATGATCCTAGTATCTGTGATGAGGTGTGTTTGTTTGGCAGTTGTGCAATGTCACCTCATGACAGCAGAGGGGAGCGTGGAGTTCATTTTGGATCTCCCAATCTAAATGGGTGGGATGTTTTTATTTAGAGAAATGGTTCACAGTTAATATAGGGCTTTGTGCATCTCTTGTTACATTGTGAAGATTATTTCCCCCCCTTCCAATCGTAAAAGGTATAGTCCTTAAAGGTGGGGTAGGTAATTTTGGAGAAACCAGCTCGAGTGCGCTAGAATTTGAAAACCGGAAAAAATCTGCCACTTCCTTACAGAGCCCCTCCTCCAACACACACGAACGCGCACATGACCAAGGAGGGCACGAGATAAATTTGTGCACAGATGGAAGGCTGATATGACAGGCAGGTAGGCCATCCATCTAGTGTGTCTCACCACAGGCTGAGAAAAAAACGAATTTCCTCAAAGGGCCATTATCTTCCTGTGGAGGGAAAGACTGAACATCTAGGGACTTACCAATGCAAAGTGAAAGCAAAACGTTAAGCTTCCAGAAATGTCAGGGGATTTTGCTTACAGCCTGCTGTGTGTGTGAGACATTGCTTTTCTTGTGCTGAATAGTGTCACAAAAATTCAGATAATATAACAAACCTTAGCATCTGTCATGTCAGTCAACTAAACAGTTAACTTTTTCAAAACATAGATTTTACATTCGGATTAAGCAGTATTGTATTTGCAGTTGTCACCATTATTTCAAAAAAAAATTAACCACAGTTCACCTACTTAAATGCATTTGCATAAGCTTTTCAGTGAGTAACTGCTGACAACATCTCTCCTCACAACTTCACTTTTAACTCCACTGGACTGTTTGGACTGATCAAGAACACTTACTCTACTTTTTTTTTTTAAACTGTCGCCTTTTACAAACTGGAATTTAGATCACAGCCCTATTGCAATTATTTCTGAAAGAGACACCTACAGTAATGACTACTTTACACTTAGTCACAACTGAATGAGCATTTACTCTTGACAATATTTTAATCAGAATTACATGAATTATGTAGAACATCAATTGTTACAATAGTGTTCCCTCCAACAACAACAACAACAGGATAGTTTAATGTTCAGTGTAGGTGTCTAGTTGCAGATCCAACAGCAGGCCTCCACGCCTATAAAGAATGAAATGCATTATAGTATAACCATCTTATACACCCTGTAGAAAGCTGTAGTGATGGTGATTTTCATTAAAACTTACCTCAGCTGTGCTGGATGATAACCACAAATAAGTCTGTGTATAATCATGAGTTGACGTTCATATTCTATTGAGTTGCAAATACATTTGTTGTTTACCTAAGTGTGTGCAGTAGCAGTTGTTGCTGCTTGTTATGTCTTATCTACAGTTTCCTTTAGATCATGTGATTTTAAAGAATAACCTCCCACTAAGGACTGATGGGGTTTGTCAGTGGCAGCCTCTCAAGTTCAAAGTCAAAAGTATCACACACCCCACAACAGTTTCTCTTTCTCTCTCTTTAAACTGTGCTTTTGAACTTACTGTGAGACTTTCCTTAAAGTGGCAGTTCACCTTTTGTCCCCAATGTATCTTCAAGAAAAATGTTGACATTATTGCAGAGCAAATGGCTGAAATTCATAAAAGATGTGTGTTAAAGGACTCCTATTATGCAAAATGCACTTTTTGATGTCTTTTATACATAAATATGTGTCCCCGATTTCATTTCATTTCAAACCTTTATTTATCCAGGTGTATCCCATTGAGATCATTGATCTCTTTTTCAAGGGAGACCTAATGTGTAAGGAGACCGATGTGTAAGGAGACTCACAAAGTGTCAGACAATACAACCCTTTCTCTTTTCCTCCGTACCCACATCTCTAAAAACGGGGGTACAACGGAGCTGATCCAGATTTGCTGTGGACCTGACGTCATTCAGCAGGATGTCTACGGGAGGGACTTAGAGTTGAAGTTATTATATATATATAATACATATAATTGCATTGTTCTAGCGGTAAACACTGAATAAAGAACATGTCAAGCTATGTGCTGTGTCAGCAACAATGCACAGTGTGTTTTGGAAGCAATATGGTCTGTGTTTACATTAGCAAGCATATCTAACACTATATGTATATATGAGAATATGTGTAAAGAAGCCGGATATAAAGGGTACTGTCCTTGTGGTAAACCCAAGAGAGAAAGCATTTGAGCTCCATACTGTTTCAGAAATAATGCTTGATGTGATTTGGAACATAATATGGTGTTGAATCACGGCAGCGTTTAGCTGAGTTTCTGCCGGTAGTCACCCTTCTCTTCACAGAGCTCACCGCTTGCATGCGGACGATTCAAAGGGGCGTGGCCAGCAGCAGCTCCAAAGGGGTGTGGCCAGCAGCAGTTTGGGTTACATTGAAAGGGCCAGACCCATAATCAGCCCTTTTGTAACAGGGCTGAAATAGAGGGGTATGAGGCATGCTACAATGGGTGATCTGTTTGGTATTTTGAGCAAAACACTTCAGAGACATGTTTTGTATAGATATGGCCCTATAATATATTGTTCAAATATAGCATAATAGGTGACCTTTAATGTGTCTAAGTTCCATACATATATTCAACTTCGTGTTTGTATTCTGTTGTAAATTAAGAGTGTACTAAAAGAACAACAGAGTATCAAAAGTCACGTTGCTTATTGGCAAAATCTCAATTTGACCTTTTGCATTGAAAGAAAGAACACAAAACGTAACTGATGTGTCAGGGATCAAGTATTTGGTAAGGTTTTGTGTAATGGGATATATATGTATATGAATGTATTATGGTCAAAACATCATTAAGACTCTTCACAGCAGAAGTAATCCGGTTCTAAATTGGAGACCAATTAAAAGTTTAAAAGTTTATGTTGTTTAGTTGAGCATCCAGTGGTCCAGCCTGTCTGGATTCCCTGACGAAAAATCAACACAGATAAAGAAATATATAAAGTACCATGTGTAAGGTTACTGACACTGACTTCTTGCAGTAAAACTTAAATTACCTCAATGCTGAACCGCTTCAATAACTTACTTGAGCTGAACCAAACCAAATTGCAATATCTACTTAACATTATCTCTGGAACCATTGTGATATGTGACATTCATATTTTTAAGATACACACACCTTATAGAAACACTGCACACACACTGAACTAACGCTGACATTACCTAGTCTTTTTATATATATATACATACTGTACATATATAAATACATATTACATGACATTTTATTTTGAAGAAGTTACAGACTCAGACTTAAATGGGGCACCTGCATTAGAGAAAAGTCATTAAGAAAAAGGAGACCAAAGACAAATTTCAATATTTGTGCTATTTATTGTGGTTTTACCTGAACAGCCGTACTGTAGTAACATTTTGATATAAATAAAGTGCAACACTGAATAGAAAATACCTTTAAATCAGTGACGGGTACAGCATATGTAATCCTTAATCTAAAAAGGTTTTACTTTCCAACAGAATTTAGTCCTTGACCTGCAAATAATCAGATTCTTGATAACCTGGAGACGGAAAAATAAAATACTACATGAACCATTAAAAGCACAAATAACAACATCATAATTCAAAGACTCCAATACATGAAAAATAAATCATTTTCATATTTAACTCAGTAATGTAGTGGTATAGTATAGATATGATGCATTACAGGCTGCACATGAAAACCTAAAAGCCATATTGCCCAATTTATGTAATTATCATTCCAGACATGCTTTTAACATGTTGTCATAACAACAAGACCTGCCTCAGCAGTATGTCGTTTTACAGGTCGTTGACAAAGTCTTCTCCAGATTGAATCATCCGTGTCAGTGCGCTCAGTATCAGTGTATCAGTGTTATCACTTGTCTCGTGCTCTGAGTGGTAGTTCTTCACAGGAAAGATGCAGCTTGTTGGGAAACCCAGCACGCCATTCACCTCCTCAATCTACATTTAAGAATTTGACATTTAATAAATAAAAGTGCTGATCCAAGGAGATGTTGCGGTTACAATATTACAGTGTAAAACAAAATGATATCCCAAAATGAATTACAGCTCTTTACAAACTAAATTACAGATATAAACTTACCTTGTTCTTCAGGTGTTTGCTCTTATACACGTTCCTTATATCCCTGCCAACCTCTGGACAGGCTTCATCAATTTTGGTGAGAATAGCAATTTCAGGAATTTCTGCCAATACAGAGCAGAATCAAAATCAGTTAAAAATAATGTTGGTACAGTTATTTTATTGCATTGTTATTATATTTTTTCTTATTATATAAAAATAGAATATATATATAATTTATGTCAGATCTAATGTTATGCATTATTGTAAAAGCTTGACCCTTACCCATGTCCCTGGCTGCAAGTCTGACTTCCCTGAACTTTCTCACAGAATCATCCTGCATTCCTGCTGTGCTGCCAGGGATGACGCAAACCAGAACATGAACTCTGTTGTCCGGTGCCTTGCTCAAGGGCACCACGGCAGGGCCCAGGAGGTGAACTGGGACCTCTCCAAGTAGCAGTCCACACTACATATTTAGGTCTGTTCGGGGACTTGAACCGGCAACCCTACGGCTCACAGTCCAAGCCCCTACTGACTGAGCCACTGCCGGACGCAACAACAACAAAAAACATCACAATGAAAAACCACATTTTTTAAATCAATATCTTTTTTTTAATAAAGTACATTTTTGCAAAACAAAACAATGTGAAACAACTTTTAAAAAATATTTCTGTTGGGCCAGACAGGATTTTATTTGAGAATGAAAGTTATGATAGGGGGGGATAGAGTGATGACACGTGTTAACAGACCACAAGCCTCAGAGCATGGGGCACCAGCTCTAACCACTGAGCCAGAGAAAGAAATACTTCATGTTTTTTAATTGTTGTTGTGTCTTGTGAAAGGTTTTTATGTTTTGACTTTCAGGGCCACCATAGCAGTTTGTCTCCTGCTTAAAAGTAAAGTAAAATAATATAATAGATAAAAGAGTTGTTACATTTCAAGTGTTACAATGTAAGACATTCATGATAACACTAAAAAGGGATTCTTACTTTTGTGGTGTAGCTCTTGCCACCGATCGCATCTGTTTTAGCTCGATCAGTTATTTCGCCTCGTAAAGCACTTTCCACAGAGTTGATGAAGCTGGACTTGCCAGCACCAACAGATCCATAAACCATAAATCTGAGCTGGACATTATCTTTAAAAGGCTGGTATTCCTTCACAATCTGCAAGTCTCCTGCTTTTTTTCTGTTCAATGGAAAAGAAAATCAGTTGATTATAATGGTGTCACTGAGACCCAAGAAAAAACCCCATTATTTTTCTAAGAAGTGACAACAAATAGAAACAATTGCATTACAAAGGTGAGTCTCAACAAAAGAGTGTGCAAGTGCATACAGTAGTTGTGCTTTTAAAAAGTGTTATTTGAATAAAAGCCACTAAACACCAGAGACACCAAACACTGAAAAATGAACTCACCCCCAAGGACCCTTCCTCCATTCTTGAGGCAGAACTGAAAAGTAAAGTGAACATTTGCAGTAAAACATTAGTCCCATTTTGATTGATTTGATCTATTAGGCAATGTTTAGAAAAATGTTACTCACCTTTTGGAGAAGGTGGGGGGGAGTTGGGGGGGTCGAGTTTCCCATGGCTTCAACAAGAAATTGTTGTAAAAACATTATCGATACAACATTTGAGATCAAATATTTCACAACATTCATCATGTATAGTAAAGTATTATTATAATTATGTAAAATATTGTAAATCCCTTTGCTTTGCAACTTCTCATACTCAAATGTGCTGCACAGGAAAAGTTTTTATCATTTATTAATATTTTAAAGTCGGTTAAATTGTTATTGCAGAAAATATACAACAAATAAAGTTTGTTCAAGTTAAAAAGTACACGGTTAAAATAACTAAAAACTGTAAACATTTTTCATTTTCACTTGATCAAAAGCTAAATTGTCCCACTCAATAAATACTCACAGTACTTGCTTATGAGTTTACAGCATATACTTGATAAGCGTACTACTGCCATAGGGGCAGTTTAGTGTTATATTAAACCCTTTAAATACGTCTATCTAGTTTTAATATATACTTGAAAGATTTAGTTTTTATACAATTTCAGTGAAAATGTATAAGTCTGTTTATGTTTACTGCACCTTATTTCTAACAGACATTTAAGGTCAAATACATTATTTCACTTATCCCCTTTCTTTTATTTATCCAGAGAATTATCTTTCATTTAATCTTGCTCACTACAAACAAGCAGCATTTTGGCCAATTCTGTTTTTGTACAGGTTATAAACAGATTAAATCAAACGAAATAAACACCCAGAGATAGACAAATATAGGTTTATATATATTTTCTTTTTTCTAAGCGCAGCTCTACAAAGCATTAAAGGTTTGAGATAAAACTAATGTTAACATACAAACAGTAACTATCTCTATAACTGTACTACACAAAAAGGATAGCTACTGTACAATCAAAATGATGAAAGCATAAGCACTTTTACTTTCATGTTCAGTTATAGCACACCGTGACTTAAAGGAATTGCCTTTATAGATGTACAACTTAATGTTTACTGACCTCATAAAGTAAAGTTGATTTCTCTTTAGTCATTCACATATGACAATAGTCACAACTGAATGACTGAATGCATTTAGTCTGTGTCAGATCCAACAGCAGACCTCTACACCCATTTTTTTTAATTGAATCTGAATGTGACTTTAGAACTTAAACACACTTTCTCATGAGTTTACCTCAGAATACTATTGAAATACAAAAACATGGTTAGAATGTGAAGTGTGTCCAGTATAGCTGTTATATTCTGATTTGGTGGTATCTACACTGTAAGAAACGTACCGTGAAATTCACAGTATTTAACTGGCAGCAATTGACAAGTTACTTACTGTAAAATGAATTACAGTAAGTAACTTGTCAATTGTTGCCAGTTAAATACTGTAAAATGGATTACAGTAAGTAACTTGTCAATTGTTGCCAGTTACTTACTGTAAAATGAATTACATTAAGTAACTTGTCAATTGTTGCAAGTTAAATACTGTAAAATGAAACACAGTAACTTCCAAGTACTGTATTTATGTTTACAGTAATAGTGTTTTAACTGAAAATGCAACACAGTAATATTTAATTACTTTATTTTTTGTAACAGCAGTAGTGTTATAGCTGTAAAATAAAACAGTAATTTCCAAGCATTGTATTTTTGTTTAAGGTAATAGTATTTTAACTATAAAATAAAACACTGCCATTTAAAAAGTACTGTATTTTTGTTTATGGTAATGGTGCTTCAACTGTAAAATAGAAACTTTAATGCCATCATTTTAAGTTACAGTATCAGTATTGTAACTGTAAAACTATTTATTATTGTATACTTCATGTCATGCTGGTAATTTACATATTACCAGAAATTCTTGACACAAATTTAAAGCTCACCAATAACTGCAGGGAGACAGCAAACAATACATTTGAACAATGTATTCTTAATTGTTGAACGGTATCAAGACCATGTAGTTTCTTGTGCTAAATGATGAATATTTTCTTCCATAAAACAATCGATATTAATATCCAAAAACATGGAGATTGCATTTTTAAAACAGTGGCGATAACAAATCAACACAAAAAATATGAAGCCATTTCTTCTGCCAAGCCATTTTAGAGACGTGCTGTAGATGTCACAACCTCGACACAAACTGGAGAACCCAAATGCACGACCCAGAGACACAGTCTTGAATGTGACAAAAATTGTCTTTTTAATGTCATTGAACAGAAAATCCCTCTTAACAGAGTAAGTACTGGAATAACAAAAAAAACGCTCACAAGGAGGAAAAAACTAAGCATAATAAAAAGAGAACTTAAGATAAACTTAAACTAACAAAACAACAAAACCTGACATGAGTGAAAACGATCCTCTCTTTGCTGAGGCCTGGCAAGACCATACGTGGGAACAAACAAGACGAACTGACAGGACAGGGGGGAGACAGGACTATTTAAACATGAGGTGAGTGGGAACAGGTGGAAACAATCAGGGGCGGGGCAGACGCTGAGGCGGGAAAACACACAAAGGGAGGAAGTAACGGGGCCTGAAATGAGAGACAAGAGGTAAGTACAAAATGAAACAGGAAATGGAAAACGAGACACGACATGAAACACGGGGAGTTAACTAGAGATGAATGACATAAATAGACAGACCTGACATGACGTGAATAAACATGAACTGACTAAACATGAAATGACAGACATAATACATAAACATAACACATTTGACGAGACACAACAAAAGGCACTGTTTGGCAAATACATTATCACTATTCTTAGATAATACACAATATTTTAAAACACTTTGAATACAAACAACCAAATGCATGCAGGAATGGACCCTGTACTGAACTTACAAACCTTACACGTGTAAGACATTTTGATTACATAAATTAACTGAATAAATTGTTTGTATTAAAGGTGGGGTAGGTACGTTTGAGAAACCTGCTCGAGATACACTTTTTGTTATATTCCATGGAATGCTCTTAACATCCCGATAGCAATGAATATCTTAAGTGCTTTGACAAAAAATCCATACAAAATTTCATCTGTGGAAGCCGTAGTACTGTAAAAAGTACGACCAATCATTTTAGCCGGCCCAGCTAAAATAACTGGATGGCCTACCTGCCTGTCAGCCTTCCATCTGTGCACAAACTTATCTCGTGCCCTCATTGGTCATGTGCGCGTTCGTGTGTGTTGGAGGAGGGGCTCTGTAAGGAAGTAGCAGATTTCTTCCGGCTGTGTATTTTCAAATTCTAGCGATCTCGAGCCGGTTTCTCCAAAATTACCTACCCCACCTTTAATTACTTTCTTTGTCTCTTGAGTTACCGTGGCTGTTGGGGGAGGTTACTTCCTGGTTCAGCAAAGGGTGTGGCCGAGCGCTGAGGACTCATAAATACTGCAAGGAGCCAATTGGGACAGATTGGGACAAACCACCTGCTTCCATGTTAAAGGGGGGATTTGGGTATTCTGTTACTATTAATTATCCCTTGGTTTCAACTTGGTTTGGCCAAGCCACTATATACAGGTGCATCTCAATAAATTTGAATATCGTGGAAAAGTTAATTAATTAAGATTATTATCAGTTTTGCATAATGGTGTCACTGAGACCCAAGAAAATAAACCACCATGATTATGAAAAGTGACAACAAATAGAAAAATGTGCATAACAAAGGTGAGTCTCAACAAAGGAGTGTGCAGGTTCATTGTTGTGCTTTTAAAAATTGTTATTTGAATAAAAGCCACTAAACACCAGAGACACCACAAACTGTAAAATGAACTCACCCCCAAGGAGCGTTCCTCCATTCCTGAAGCAGAACTAAAAAGTAAAGTGAACATTTGCAGTAAAAAATTAGTCCCATTTTGATTGATTTGATCTTAGGCAATATTTAGAAACATGTTACTCACCTTTTGGAGAAGGTGGGGGGGGGATTAACAGCTGCACAGGAAACATTTTTTTTCATTTATTAATATATTAACCCTTGTATGGTGTTCATATTTTTGTTATTCAGCCAGTGTTCTTGGGTCTGGTGGACCCGCTGCCTTTTTGGGTTTCAATTCAACACAATCAAAGTATGTTATGTTAAAGTCTGTTGATTTGTTACTGCAGAAAATATACAACAAATAAAAGTTTGTTCAATTTGAAAAGTACAAAGGTAAAATAACTAAAAACTTTTACTTTCACTTGATCAAAAGTAAAATTGTCCCGCTCAACAAACCCACACATTTAGTTTACAGTACTATACTTTTATACCTCTATTAGGCAATCTTTTGAAAAATGTTGCGTTACTTACCCATTGAAGAATGTAGGGAGCAAGGTGGGGGTGAATTCTATTGGTCGTTTCCTATGGCTTTAACAAGAAATTGTTATAAAAACATTGTCAATACAACATTTGAAATCAAATATTTCACAACCTTCATCATGTATGTGAAATAATATTGTAAATCCCTTTGTTTTGCAACTTCTCATACTGACTCAAATGTGCTTCACAGGAAAAACCTTTTATCGTTTATTAATATCTTAAAGTCTGTTTAATTGTTACTTCAGAAAATATACAACAAATAAAGTTTGTTAAAGTTAAAAGGTACAAGTGTAAAAAAAAAAAGAAAAGAAAATGTAACTTTATTCACTCCCTCTCAAATAATACCTTTAAAGGTTTGAGATAAAAACTAATGTTAACATACAAACAGTAACTATCTCTTTAACTGTACTACACAAAAAGGATAGCTATAATCAAAATGATGAAAGCATAACAAGAATTGGGAAGTGATAGAAATCCTCACCTTCAGTTACTGTATGTCTCACCCAAGTGCCTCTCAACTCAAAAGGAAAGTCTCTTTTATATGATAACAGCTACTCACTTTCACTTTCATGTTCAGTTATAGCACAACATGTGGCTTAAAGGAATTGCCTTTATAGATGTACAACTTAATGTTTACTGACCTCATAAAGTAAAGTTGATTTCTCTTTAGTCATTCACAAATGACAATAGTCACAACTGAATGACTGAATGCATTTAGTCTGTGTCAGATCCAACGGCAGACCTCTACACCCATTTTTAAATTGAATCTGAATGTGACTTTAGAACTGAAACACACTTTCTCATGAGTTTACCTCAGAATACTATTGAAATACAAAAACATGGTTTGAATGTGAAGTGTGTCCAGTATAGCTGTTTGATTCTGGTTTGGTGGTATCTACAGTTTCCTTTAGATCACGTGATTTAAAAGAATCAGGGGAGAAGGGAGGGGCGGGCTTGCAGGGCTGCAGCTACGGATGTTTTCTCAACTGCCCCGGTTCTATTTTCCTGCATTGCACTCAGTCATTCTGTGTTATGTGCTGTAGTACTACTCTTAACCTCGAGAGGCAGCAGCAGTATGGAAAAAATACCAATCATTTATATGTAGCAATAAATCAAAATTAAATTACAATGTTTTATTAAGATATGTAACTGTTTGAAATGTTATTTAAGTAATATTACAGACTAAACATCATTTATGGAATGTATCTTGTCAATTAAGTTATATTTTAGGAGGAAAAGTATTAGTGGAGAGTTAAGATATTTTATTGCCACAGAATATCATGGTATTGCCAGGTGGTATAATCTCATATCCCAATAGTGTGATATGGCATCAGTGTTATTGTGGCTGCATTACAGTAAGGTGATGTCATTTTCTGAACAAAAACAAGTTGTTATATAATATCTTTCTCCAAATTGCTTATTCTAAATCTACTTAAAGAAAATGTATGAAATTGGAATGAATCTGAGTGAGTGTGTAGCATTTGTGATTAGAGGAACATTTCTAAAGACATTTAAGTAGAGGCATTGTTACTGAGTGAAATGTCAAGTTTGCTGTTGTTAAACCATACGGTACAATTATTCATTTTAGGCCATAGCGTTAGAAGCAAAACAGCAGAGACCACCCAAAAATGATTTGCTGCGTGTCAACAACCCAAATAAATGTGCTGCCTTGACTATCCTTTACATTCATATAAAGTTTGAATACATATGTTTCAACCTTACTTTTTCAGCAATGAGGATTTACACCAAACGACTACAGTACACACTAAGTCACAATTGAATGTGTGAATGCATTTATTGTTCAAAATATTATTGGTGAGAATCAAATGATTGTAGATCAACAGCTTCATCTTCATAGAAATCAAAGCATTAACATGTAACCATCCTAGAATAGGCACACTGTATAAAACAGGCACTGATTATCATGACTTTGCAGCCTCCCAATGTCACAACAAAATATGGATTCACAAAATATTTTAAACAAGTAATGTACATCATTGTTGAACCTTTAATGCAAGCAAAAATAAGAAACACCATGTATTGTTTTTGTGAGTGTAATCACATGCATGTTTTAAAACCTGACGAGGGTTTCCTTAGAGACAAGTGAAGCTGCTTTGATCTGAATGAGCTGCAAATCACAGAACTGCTCTGATCTGTTGTCTTGATTGAAACAATTATGTTTATTATGTCATTTAAAAATATTGATGTTATCATTATGTGATGAATATGATCTGGTTATATTAAAAAATTATCATTATATACAAAACACTTTTTAATCAATGAGAGGTACAGCATATGTTATCATTAATCTGAACACGTTTCAACCAAATCTCATCTACGACCTACGAATATTCAGATTCTCGATTACCTGGAGACGGAAATATAAATTACCTCCTGAATCAACAAAGCATATAACTAACAATATCATAATGCAAAGAAAACATCAAATATAGGAAAAATAAAGCCTTTTCATACTTTACTCATAGAGACACCATCATTTATAGTATAGATATGATGCATTACAGGCTGCAAAAAAAAAACTAAAAGCCATTTAGCCCACTTCATGTAATTATCATAATTGTTAATAGGACATGTTGTTATAAAAACAAGATCTGCCTCAGCAGAATGTAGTTTTACAGGTCGTTGACAAAGTCTTCTCCAGATTCAATCATCCCTCTCAGTGCGCTCAGTATCAGTGTATCTGTGTTATCACTTGTCTCGTGCTCTGAGTGGTAGTTATTCACAGGAAAGATGCAGTTTTGTGGAAAATCCCATCCTGCCACTCATCTTCTCAATCTACATTTAAGAATATGACATTTAAGAAATGAAACTGCTGATCCAAGGAGATTTTGCTGTTAAAATATAACAGTGTAAAACAAAATGATAATCCAACTTGAATTACAGTTGTCTAAAACTAAATTACCAATAGAAACGTACCTTTTTCTTCAAGTGCTTGCTCTTATACACGTTCTGTATATCCCTGCCGACCTCTGGACAGGCTTCATCAATTTTGGTGAGAATAGCAATTTCAGGAATCCCTGCCAATACAGAGGAGAATCAGATTCAGTTCAAATAAAGTTGGTCAGGTTATTTTACTGTGTTATTATATTTTATTAGAATTATGATACATTAAATATACTTTTAAAATACAATGCATATAATTGTATTTGTTCATTTATTATCCAACCCTTACCTATGTCCCTGGCTTCAAGTCTGACTTGCCTCAACTTTGTCTCGAAATCCTGAGTCACTAACTGTGATGGGTTATTATCATTATGCAATCCTGCTATGCTGCCAGGGATGACGCAAACCAGAACATGAACTTTGTCATTTAGAGAGGGGTCTCTGTTGTAGTGTTGGTTATCTTCCGAAATGGCAGAGATAGGATTGAACTGGAAAAAAATGTTAATAATAAAATAATAATTTGCATGCACAAATACAATAGTTTCTAATGGAGTCTCGTTAGTTTTCCATATTTCATATTTCATACATTCCATCCATAATATTGATAGTAGAAAATGACCACAATGTGGGATTGTGTTGTACCAAGTTGTACCTGGTAACCATTCTTCACGTGTCCCTTCATGGCCAGTTTGATGTCTTCCACACAAACTCCTTTTTCTGCATCCTTCTGAAGGCCCATCATGTCATTGAAGACAAAAGGGTAATGTGTCCCTGGTACTTTTTGGATTTTGTACTCTCTGTACTGTAAGACAAAAAAAAATGCCGTTATGGTTGCCCTAACCTTTAAAACATAACATCATTTCACAAAACAGAAAATATTTAAAAGAAAAAACACAAATCAACATAAAAAAATAAAAACTTAAAATCAAAAACCACATTTAAAAAATTCAAACTACAATTAAAAAACGGAATATTGTAACGCAAAACATTTTTTTGGGGGGGGGCCAGATTATCCGGTTTATTTGAGAATCAACCTCTTGGTAGGGGGGAGATAAAAAGAAGACTGTGTTAACGGACCACAAGCCAGATTCAAACTTGCATCAGCAGGGATTGAGTCTCAGAACATGGGGCACCAGCTCTAACCACTGAGCCAGAGAAAAATATGTTCTGTGGTTTTTAATTGTTGTTGTGTCTTTTGTGCTTTCAGGGATTCTTACTTTTGTGGTGAAGCTCCTCTGGAAGAGTGAATCTGCAGCAGCTCGACGAGTTATTTTGCCTTGTAAAACACTGTCGACAGCGTTGATGAAGCTGGACTTGCCAGCACCAACAGGTCCATAAAGCAAACATCTGAGCTGGACATCCTCTTTAAAAGGCTGGTAATCCTTCACAATCTGTAAATCTCTCACTTTGTTTCTGTTCAATGGAAAAACATTAGACTTTAGTTTAGATCAAATTATTATCAGTTTTGCATAATGGTGTCACTGAGAACCAAGAAAAGAAACCACCATGATTATGAAAAGTGACAACAAATAGAAAAGATTGCATAACAAAGGTGGGTCTCAACAAAGGAGTGTGTCGGTTCATTGTTGTGCTTTTAAAAATTGTCATTTGAATAAAAGCCACCAAACACCAGAGACACCACACTGAAAAATGAACTCACCCCCAAGGACCCTTCCTCCATTCTTGAGGCAGAACTGAAAAGTAAAGTGAACATTTGCAGTAAAACATTAGTCTAATTTTGATTGATTTGATCTATTAGGCAATGTTTAGAAAAACGTTGAGTTACTTACCTTTTGGAGAAGGTGGGGGGGGAGGTGGGGGGGTCGAGTTTCCCATGGCTTCAACAAGAAATTGTTGTAAAAACATTATCGATACAACATTTGAGATCAAATATTTCACGACATTCATCATGTATAGTAAAGTATTATTATAATATTGTAAATCCCTTTGCTTTGCAACTTCTCATACTGACTCAAATGTGTACACGGTTAAAATAACTAAAAACTGTAAACATTTTTCACTTTCACTTGATAAAAAGCTACATTGTCCCACTCAATAAATACTCACAGTACTTGCTTATGAGTTTGCAGAATATACTTGATAAGCGTACTACTTCCATAGGGACAGTTTTGTGTTATATTAAACTCTTTAAATACGTCTATCTAGTTTTAATATATACTTGAAAGATTTAGTTTTTATACAATTTCAGTGAAAATGTATAAGTCTGTTCATGTTTACTGCACCTTACGTTTTACAGACATTGAAGGTAAAATAAATTATTTAACTTATCCCCAAACATGTTAATGCTGTTCTCTTTGAGTGCAGTCATCGCAAAAAGACCCTATACGGTAATGCCTTCTGTGTCCTGTTCTATCCCTTATAATCAGGCTATATTTAAAAACAACAATTATATCGGTATAAAAAAATTGTTAAAATAAATTACCTCAGCTGAAGTGTCTGTGTAAAGAAGTGGTGACGTTTACTCCAAGTAATGACTCTGAAATGGAAGAAAATAATATATTTCAAGTTTCTTTTTCATTACTTTGACAATAGAACTTGACCACAGTGTCTTGGGTGTATGTATATGTGTATTACTTATTTATAATAATAATAACAATAACAGTAACGATTCATACATAAAAATTGGTACGACACTAAAATGATAACCATACTCGAAGATAGCAAAGAAAATGTACTTAGTTGTTAAACAATAATAATCATTACCAGGGGTGCACATAACTGGTACGCAGGTACGCATGCGCGGCAACAATCTGAAATGCGTAACGTCACTTGTGTCACAACGCGCCTTTGCGTACCTGATAGGTCATCAAAACAAAAACACATATTTCGTCTATACGTGTTTCTTGTCAACACTCAGTGGAGTAAATTATTAGACATGTCCAAAAAAAACAAAGACAGATT